TTTACCAGTTCTGCCTATGTGAAGATAAGTCAAAGGTCCTGCTTGATCATGACTGGCTTCCCTTGAAAGCATGGAGGAAATGTTTCTCTGTGTTGACCCTCCTCTTTGTAGACTGGACACTGGTTCAAGTCCATCTGGTGGGGTCTCCTCAGCCTCCTTGATCAAGAGGACAGGTGACCCACCACCATTATAGGACCTTTTGAGAGATGCTCATAGTCCCCTGCATTTGATTCATTTTATGATTTACAAAGTGACTACCTGAGTCCTCCCAGGAAATGTGATGCCAGCATCTTTGACCAGCACATTCCACAGCTGCTATGAACTTGACTTTGATCAATAATTCTTCCCAGATTGAGGAGTTTCTGTGAATGTGAAGCTCAGAGTGAGAATAGGGATGCCTCCAGATGTGCCGTTATGTTAGTTTGGTTCTCACTCATGGCACCGGCTCACTAGGGCTCAGGTGACTGACTATCCTGGCAAGGGGTACCTTCTGCAGGTAGTGGTGAAGTAGGACAAACTGAAGGGAGGGTCTCTACATGTTCTCTGCAGCTTTCATCGGGGGGTCCCAGAACATGTGGCCCACAGAGAGCACGAGGCTCATGGCCTTGTCTTAGACTGCTTGGCCAGGCCTGGGGTCCCTGGTGTAGGGACCTCTCCAGTACAAGAGGCTGTCAGTTAATGAAAAACCTGAGGTACTTCAAGACCCTCACCTCCAGCTCAGCACTGTGTGGCCTGGACCTTCAACCCCCTCCCTAGCCTCTGCTGCCTTCTGAAAGGATCCCTCAGGGGTCCTTGGGCTTGATTGCTACTTTCCTTTGGACAGTGGACAGGTGCTGACCAGAGTGGACATTTTCCTTTAGACATGCTGTGAATCTAGACATTGCCCCAAATGTTAGGCCCTGAGGTCTCCTGTACTGCCTCTTTCTTGTCTGTGCTCCAATCCCTGACCTGTGCATGTCTGCCCACAGCCAGCATGGGCAGCTGGCTCCCAGTTAGTGTGGCGGTGAATAGCATGTTACAGGGGCCACACCGTGGGCCCATAGGAGAAACTCCTACCAGTAGCTTCAAGTTTGGGGGTCAAGTGACCCTAGTGGCAGGGGCTGTGGTGTAACCCAAGCTAACATCACAGGAAGGGGATGGGTTGCAGGCCAATTGGGGTTGAGAGTGGGCTTCTAAGAGGCCAGCACCTTACAAGCTCCCAAGGGCCGGATGCAGCCAGGCCCCCCTCAGCAGAAGTCTCAGGGAGTGTAGCTGGGGTAGGGGTGGTGCCGATCCTCCAGTGGGCGGTGCTGATGCCAACAGGGAGTGTAGCTGGGGTAGGGGTGGTGCCGATCCTCCAGTGGGCAGTGCTGATGCCAACAGGGAGTGTAGCTGGGGTAGGGGTGGTGCCGATCATCTGATGGACTGTACTGATGCCAACAGGGAGTGTAGCTGGGGTAGGGGTGGTGCCGATTCTCCAGTGGGCGGTGCTGATGCCAACAGGGAGTGTAGCTGGGGTAGGGGTGGTGCCGATCCTCCAGTGGGCGGTGCTGATGCCAACAGGGAGTGTAGCTGGGGTAGGGGTGGTGCCGATCCTCCGATGGACTGTACTGATGCCAACAGGTTGTTCTTGTTTAGCAGCTTCTCCCTTTTCTGATAACTAAATAGAAGCAAAGGTGGTGGCAGGTGGGTGGGTGGGTGAGTCAGCAAGTGCTGAGCCTTTGAGGCACCCCCCCCTTCCTTCTAGACACACCCAACCCAAGGGTCCACGGAGAGTTGTGCCTGTCTTGGGGTTGTAAACCCCAAGGCCTTGTCTCAGGCTTTCTCCCTTCAGGACCTCATGGGCTTTTCTGAGCTCCTGTTGACTTGGAAACACTTGTCATTTTGCCCTCTAGAGGCTGCCTTGGTTCTCCTGGGGCCAAGTCACCAGCACTCAGGTGCAGTCTGTGTGGCCTCCAGGAAGGCAACAGTTCAGCGTAGCTCAGCTCAGCTTGGGATGGCCAGGCATGTAGGTAGCATTTTCCTGAGGCAAGAAACTCAAGACAGGGTTGTCCTGTAGCGTTTACAGGGAAATTTGTCCACTGAGATTTCATACTTCAGGGCTTCTTCTCTTGATTTGGAGAACCTAGGGTCGAACCAGGAAACTGAGGGCAAAGGCTTGAGACATAAATCACAGCAAATAACAAGTTTCCATCTTCCTGAATCTACTCTGAGAGGCCTGTGGAGAAGCTGCTGAGCCAGAGTTTCTGTTCCATACCAGGGGAAGTGGGACGAAGGGCAGGCGAGGGCTGCCCCTGAAGAACCCTGTTGTGTAAGTTCCAGTAAGAGAGCTCATTCTAAGTGGGTGTGTACCTTTGGGCTTTCTGGAAGAAGCCAGGCCCCAGGTTTTGGGAACCTCAAATGGAGCCTATAAACAGGACTCAATTTGACAGACACTTGGAGTATGTAACTTGTCCCAGGACTGGGTGAGGCCTAGAAAAATGGCTGAGCCTATGGCTCCAGCCCAAGGCCCCATACTCACAGCAGAGGGACAGATATCCCTCCATCACCCCACTATTCCCCACCCTTGTTAACACTCCTTTTGTAGAATCTTGGTCTTGGTCCTTGTGGGCAGTGCCTGGGGCAGGTAGGATGAGTGGGATTCTCCATTTGAGCTGTGATCTGGGGAATGGGCATCTTTATGCTGCAGTAGGGGGTCTGCTTTCCAGTGAGATGCCCATATCATTTTGGGGTGTTGATATGAAAGCTGGGAGGGGCACCTTGGTTGAGTGGTATAGGGGCATAGTCTCTCAACTTGGGGTTGGCTTTGCACTGTGATAGGCATATAAGAGCAGTTTTATTTATTTATTTTATTTTATGTGTATGTGTGTATTGACAGCATGTAGATAAGTGCACCCATGTCATGCAATGCCCACTGAGGTCAGAAGATGCTGTCATATTCCCTGGGACTGGAGGTACAGACAGTTGCTAGCTGCCATGTGGTTGCTGGGATTCGAACCCGGGTCTTCTGCAAGAACAACCAGCGTTCTTAACCACTGAGCCATCTCTCCAGCCCCCATAAGAGCAGGGTTTTTTTTGGTCTTTTTGAGACAGGGTCTCTCTGTAGCCCCAGCTGCCCTAGAACTCACTATGTAGACCAGGCTGGCCTTGAACTCACAAAGATCCACCTGCCTCTGCCTCCCAAGTGCCGGGATTAAAGATGTGTGCCACCATGCCTAGCTGGAGCACCCCTTTCTTTGGACACCTGCTACTGTGGCCACAGTGTGATCCAGAGGGAGTAAGGGGTCCCCTGAAGTTAGTCTCTGGCTTGACTGAGGTTGGTTTTCTGCCTCCTGTTCTGTTGAGCACCTACATGGTAGAGCTAGAGCTGGCCAGAGGTCTCACCATGACTTTGTCTGACTCTGGCTTGCACTCTCAGGTATAGGCCAGAGAGGCAGGCTGGTGAGTCCACTTCCGCAGTATCCAGACAGGGGAGGGTCTGTGACTGACCAGCATTGTTTGGGCTGCATTCTCACACTGCTCTTTCCTCCCCAGCCCCTTGTCGGCCGTGCAGTGACACTGAGGTCCTCCTTGCCGTTTGCACCAGCGACTTTGGTAAGTCTGCTCCTGCACTCCTACAGGTGTCTCTCTCCAGGACCCAAGGGCTTTCCCAAGTCAGCATTGATTTCTTTTGACCAGGTGGGAGGTCTGCAGAAGCTGCAGAATGTGGTCTCACCCTGGAATGACAGGGAGTAGTGCATCTGTGTGTACTAAGGAAGGTCTCTGCATACCGTGCACGCAGACAGAGCTGGGGCTGGCATTCGAGATGTGTTGGTGTGTTCCCACTGTGCACAGCAGCTCACCACCTCCCGAGGACTCTGGAAGTCCTTCAGTTCCCAGCAACTTTCTTAGAACTCTGGGAACATACTGCAACGGGTAGCTCGGTGTGTCCCTGACACCAGCCCCATCTCAGAGCTCTGCCCAGTTTTCGTCCAGGTGGCTGGGGTATTGGAGGTCCTGTTGGATTCAAGGCTGTAATCTGAGGGGTGGAGGCACTTTGCCAGTGACATCTGCACAGTGCTCTTGGACACAGGCCAGGGGTGGTGCTTGCTAAGCTGCTGTCATAGTAGTGGCTGCATTAAGCCAGGGCCTAGCTGGCCCTCCTCAGAGCCCCACCCAAACACCAAATGCTGTCCCTTGATGGTTATGATGATTCCTCACTGCTCTGCTCTGCAGGGCCTAGCCACTGCTTTCAACACCTGTCTTTCCCTGTCCTCTCTCTTTATATCAGCCCTGTCTTCTGAGTTGTACTGTGGCACCTGATGACACTCAGAGCTGCAGAGCATCTTGTGTTAGCTGTGCTTATCTTCTTGTTTTTATCTGAAGAGCATGTGCACAGTGTGTCTGGTGCTCAGTGGAGCATCTCTGTTTAACAGTGTCAGAATTGGGATTGCTTTCTTTCTAAGGGCCATCCTAGGTGGCAGAGTGGGTCAGATGTGGGTTCTCATACCTTTGATGGCCAGGAACATGTCCAGGGCAGCATCTCGAATCTGACCTGTGTCTCCTTCCTTTGCAGTCGTCCATGGCTCCATCCAGGATGTCACCCATGTGCCAGAGCGGCAAGAGTCCATCATCCACCTGCGGGTGAGCAAGCTCCACCGGCAGAAGAGCAGAGTCTTCCGGCCGGCTCCTGAGGGCAGTGGCCACTGGCTGGGCCGTGTTACAACACTGCTGGAGTGTGGCGTGCGGCCAGGGCATGGGGACTTCCTCTTCACTGGACATGTGCACTTTGGGGAGGCACAGCTCGGATGTGCCCCGCGCTCTAGTGACTTCCAAAGGATGTACAGGGATGCAGAAGAGAGGGGCATAAACCCTTGTGAAATCCACATGGACTGATCGCAGGGTGATGTGGTGCTTTCCTCTAAATGAGCTGTTGCTTTGGACCCCAGTTGCTCAAATCCTGATGTAGGCTGCAGGCTTGCGGCATGGGCCCAGCCTGGTGCTCAAGCTGGGAAGGTACATGCTGCTCTGACCTCATTAGGTCCCAGACAACGACATCCTGACCCATTGGAAACGCTGTAAAATGCAAACTAAGTTATTATATTTTTTTGTAAAAAAGAAATATCCATAGGAAACAAACTCCTGTGTCTGAAAATGCCTTGATGTGCCATTTAACAACATTTTAAAAACTGACCTTTAGCTCTCACATTTGGCCTGATGTGTTGGGAGCTAGGCTGTGGGGCACAGTGAGGGGAGTGGGCTTCCATAGGTACTGTTCAGCCTTGTTATTTTGTGATGGAAGCATATGGAGCCAGATACTTTTTATGTTTTCCCTTCATTTTGTTTTTGATCCTAAAAAACAGCTCTGCCGCTGGGAACTTTCCCATGCTGTAGATTGCTTACATTCCAGAGAATAAAGACCAAGATCTGAGTACACTGTCATATCCCATCTCCTCCCATCAGATGGGTGCCTACATCAGACCTCTGCCCAGCCCTGGTCTTGCTGTCCCAGAACCTCTCACTCACTGGACTCTTCCGGAGGTGCTGCCAAGCTTTAGCCCTGTGTTCTTTCCCTGCTCTGGCTAGGCCAGTAGTCACCTCCGTCACCTGCTCCCTCCCTTTCCATTTCCAGTCTTGTCCTTTGACCCCAGATTCCCTGAAGTGCCCCACCCACATGGAAGTCTCTGGATACCCAGGAACTGTCCTGGTCAATGACCCCTTTTCCTCGGAGGGTGAATTTTCAATATGGTAACAAATCTCCACAAGTTGGGGCTTAAACAACAGGCTTTCATTCATATAGTTCTGGAAGCCAGAATGGTACGGACAGGACCTAATTTTCTCTGGAGGCGCCAGGCATCCTTGGCCTATAGCCACATTACTCTGGTTTTGCTTTCCCTGATGTGTGATTTCTCTCTCTCTCTCTCTCTCTCTCTCGTGTGTGTGTGTGCGCGCGTGCATCCGTGTCCATCTATCCAAATTTCCCTCTTATGAGGACACAGGTCTTTGATTTAGGGCCCACCCTGCTGACCTCATCTTCATGATTAGGACTCCATTTCCAACTAGGTCACAGCCAAAGACTACAAATGAGTATCAAATGTGGAGGGAGATTTTTCACTCCAGAGGCTGGAGAGATGGCTCAGTGGTTAAGAACACTTGCTGTTCTTGCAAAGGACCTGAGTTTGTTTCCCAGCACCCAGGTTGGGCAGCTTACAACCACCTGTAACTCCAGCTCCAAGAGATCTGACTTGACACCCTCTCTGCTTCCACAGGCACCCACACATGCACACACACCCATACACATAAATTTAAAATTTTTTTTAAAGAATATTCAACTCCAGTATAAGGAGTTGGGGTAGAGGGGTGGTGGGTAGAGGATGGAGGGGTGGAGGGATGGAGGGGTACAGGGGTGGTGGGTGGAGGGGACGGGGCCAAGGAATGGAGGTAAACAGACCCAATTGTGCTCATTGATTCATTAGGCAGGTTTGTCCCATGCAGCTGCTGGGACAAGGCCTATGAGAGGCTGTGGCTGGTGAGCACCAGGCTGGTGTGCTAGCTTAGGCGTGTACCACTGCGGGTGTGCCAGCTCAAGGTCCGCAGGTCCTAACGTGAAGCAGAAGAGTGCAGAGCCAGGCTCTACTGTGGCTGGTGATTTAACATCTTATGCTGTCAGGACTAGGTCACCCAGATGCCATGCCCAGCCGAGCCCCTCCTAGATCCCCCTCTCCAGGCTTCCATAACAGAAAGGGATGTCCTGGCTGCCTCCTGTTCTACAAGAAGATTGGGGTCAGCCTTGCTAGACCTGGCACAGTCCAGCTTCTGACAGACCTGGAGTGAGACTACTTACACAGAAAGGGGGAGAGCTGGATTTCCAACAGGTGAGAAAGTGATCTCGATGGACCTTGGCTAGAACTGGCAGGATCCAAGAGGCTGAGAGGTGCTGACCTCATTTGTGACTAACACCCTCTACCTTTGCAGGCGGGTATGGGTGGACACAAGTTTTTCTGTACAAGCCTCCTTTTCTATACCCTGGGCTGCTTGGGACTGGACAGCAGTCACAGGGCTGGAGAAGAGCCATGGTGTTGGGAGGAGCCACAGGGATGGGGAGGAGCCATGGAGAGTCTGGGTGGGAACCATGGTGATGGGAGGAGCCACAGTGGAGGGGGTGGAGCCAGCAGGTTCATATTTCCTCAGACTGCTATGCCTCCATGTCCTTGAGCCAAGCTCCTTTTGATACAGCATCACTCTCCAAACTACTCTGACAACAGACCCTGCCTTCCCATCTATACAATCCTTGGAGAAGCCCCTAGAGAGGGGCCAGGTCCTTAAAGGGTCTCCAGAGTGCCCTTCAGGTTTACCCCGTAGTGGCATCTACTGTGCCGTCTTTGTACTTTGGAGCCAGGACTGCTTCCCTGGGGAACCCTATAAAGTCCACACAGCCTTATTGTGTGCTTGGAGAAGTGGGAACTGTTCTGTGGCTCCATCCAGAGGCTGAAGGGGAGCTGTGTAGGATCCCCAAGTCCTAGCCCACCTCTACCCCAAATCTCATCATCTCTCTCAAACTTTCCAGCTTCCTGTCTTGTCCCCTCTCCCTACCCTACCTCTACCCCATCCTCACACTATTACTGTCTCCCCCTGCTCTGTCCTCTCCCCCCTGCACCAGCCCTCTACATATACTGCCTCCTCTCCTTACCTTATGGTCTGTCCTGTTGGAGGTACCAAGTCCGACCATCATGACTCTTCTGCTTCATTTTCTCTTTTCCTGTCCCCTCTCTGCTAAACCTGTGGACCAAACCTCGGTACTTGCTGTGTCTCTTTGTGTCCTAGTCACGGGTCTTGTCCTGCTTAAGTTGCTGCCTCCTGGTTAAGTCCTGAGACCGCTGTAGTCCTTACCAGTTACTTAGGCATGCTGGGGGAGCCCAGCTTCTTTGAGAGTCTGTGGCTTGCCAAGCGAAGGATATCAGACAACCTCCTGTGCCTGGCAGCCCCCTCCCCCACGACCCTGCCTAGTGGGGCTTCACGTTACAGATGGGAATGTGGGAACATCTGTGAATGCTTGTCTGGCCTCCTACTGGCTGTGTGTCCCAAAGGACTCGGTGGCTATCCTCTTCTCTTTGGCAGACAAGTGGACCCCCTCTCACTGTACTGTCCCTTCCCCTCTAGCCAGCGCCTGTCAAGCCCTGGGCCTCACCTTGCCACAAGCCCTGCCTTGTGGTACCTGGTCAGAGAGACTGAGTGGGGCATGCCACAGGAGTGTGACAGGGTCCACTCACCCTGTGGAGAGTGATGGGATGTCCCCAGACAGGTCACTCACCCTGTGGTGAGTGATGGGATGTCCCCAGACAGGTGGGCCGGCCTCTCGAAGGTTCTGTCGGCACTAAGCCCTCCCCTGGGAGCAGACCAGCAGCTTTTTAAGGAAAATATATGTCCATTTGCCCCCTTAAAGTTGGTCACAGCCAATGGGCATCGCATTTGTCTTTATATGAGAAGTGGCCCCATAAGAGGCCTCTGCGGCAGGGAGAAGGAAGGCCTCCTTGCCCTGGGGACTTAGGGCTGCAGGTCACCTGCTGTGGCCACACCAGTACTGCCTTCACAAGCCAAAATGAACTGACCACTGCTATTGGTGCTCTTCCCCTGCCCTAAGGGTCACCAGTACTCGACCTGCCAGAGGTCTCCGCAGTCCACCAGAGCTGCAAAGCCATGCCTTAGACCTCCAGCTTTCTTCTGCCAGTCTTAGACTTGAGTTTAAACCCTGGCTCCTACAGCCATGTTGTGCTGTGAGTATCCGTTAGTTTGGTTTGTTCTTGACTTACAGCCCCTGACTCCTGCTTTCAGAAGGTTCTGAGTGTCTGGGTCAGAGCATAGACTGAGTCCCTGGACTGCGTGGTAGACATTTTCCACCCAGAGTCTGTGGTGGGCCAGGGTCCTTGATATGGCCAGAATCGTTCCCTAACACTATTTTTTTTTGGTCTTTTTGAGACAGGGTCTTCCTGTAGCCCCAGCTGGCTTGGAACTCACTATGTAGACCAGGCTGGACTTGAACTCACAGAGATTTGCCTGCCTCTGCTTCCCAAGTGCTGGGACGAAAGGCATGCGCCACCACGCCTGGTTCTAACACTAATTTTGGGGGGTCTGCCCTATTATAAAATTAACACTATTAAAGAATGACCATTTTGAAAATAACTGTGAAGTGTAGAGGGGGAAAGAGGACAAGCACTCTGCATGCAGCAGTGCTCACCAAGGTGGTGCCAGTGTCTTTCTAATGAGGACACTTGGTCTCCCCAGTCTATGGCTGACCTGTGTTCACCTGCTCTGACATCCCCTAACCCTCTGCTTGTGTATGGGGTTTTCTCAGAAGCACAGACATGGGGTAGCCAGGGAAATAGTCAGAGCCCTTCTCCAGATTCACAGTGATTCTGCTTCTGCCTCCTACTAACTCTGAGACCAGTGTTTGGCCCTGGGGACAACACAGTTTTCCCACTGGCAATTTCTACTTCTTTGATTCCTAGCAACTGTGTTTCTACCTATGGTCTAAATCTCATCCTTTATCCTGAGGTCCCAGCCTGGACCTGGAGCCTGGCACGCAAAGGGCAATTAGAGCTACCTATCAAGTGGGTGATGATTCTTGATCCTCCAGTGGGACCTGTGCAGGCACAGGGACCACTAAAGTGAAAGGTGGGGGCAAGAGAGTCACAAGCCCAGGAGTATAGGTGCTTCCAGAAGCCAGAAAAAGCAAGGATCCAGGAACCAGGCCTATGACACCTTGAATTCAGGCTACTGTGACTTTGGTTAGACTAATGACTTCTGGGGATGTACGATGACATCTGTGCTGTTAGGCCTCTGAGGTGGTAGTGACAGGATCCAGTAGCCACAGGATTGTAACTTATCCATTCCCCATTCTACCAGGAGCTGAGCTGATTGGTAGGCCTAGCTGGCTTTGGAAACTCCCAAGTTCCCTAAAGTGCATGTGAAATGTTGGGTTGTATGTCTATGTGTATCTTTGCAGAATAGGATGATAACTTTTATCAGAATCTCAAAGTGGAACATTGTACCCAAGGACAGTTACATTTTTTTTTCTCCTGGTTTATAAAGACTTGCTTGATCCTCCACCCCATTATTCATATATGTGTGCATCTAAGTATATATGAGTGTGTGTGTGTGTGTGTGTGTGTGTGTGTGTGTGTGTATGTACAAGACTGTGAGCCAGCACACTGGTAAGTTCTCCACATAACAAGAGGTCCTTGTCCACAAAATGAGGCTCTCATGAGGCTCCTCAGCTGGGAAGACTTGTCTGGAACTCTTGTGGCCCCAAGGGAAGGAAAACTGGTAGAAGGGAGGGTCTGACACCAAGGCCAAGAGTCCAGCAGGGGCTTCAGGGCCAGGTTGCCAGACCATCTCCTGGGTCACACCACCCAGAAGGAGACCTGCCCAGGG